GTGTGTGTGTGTGTGTGTGTGTGTGTGTGTGTGTGTGTGTGTGCATATTGGGTGTGTGTCTTCGTGTGTGCTAATGTGGGGAAGGTTCTCGTGATCATCGCCGACGACCAGGAGTAAATGAGGCGGGGCAAGGGTTCCCAGCGCTCCTGGTAGTAGTCGGCAATCTCCTCCTCGCCCACTTACCAACTTTGAAAACCCATCTCCTCTCCCACGTCTCTCCTCACTGATTCTCTGCCACGTGCACATCCTCCGATTGCCACCAAGTACCTGCGGTTCGACCCGCCTGATGCCCTCACCTCCTGATCTCCCTTTGCACCTGCCACCGGTAGCAAGACCACAGTTTCCCCCTCCTGCATTCCACTCCCAAGTAAGATCCCTTCCGTTCCTTCCGCACATCTTTCACAAGCCTCGAACGCTTGACCGCTTGATTACCCCCACCTCCTCTCTCTCTCTCTCTCTCTCCCCCCCCCCCTCTCTCTCTCTCTCTCTCTCTCTCTCTCTCTCTCTCTCTCTCTCTCTCTCTCTCTCCCACCCCCCCCCTCCCTCCCCTCTGTGCTGCGTGTGTGCGTGCGATCCAACCTCATTGTGCACTTTTCTGATTCCCTGCAATTTTGTGGGACTTGCGGACAAGCGCGCGGCGCAGCTTGGCTGGCTGTCGTTGCTGAGCACCCTTTTTCCTTTTCTGGAGCTGTTCAGCATTCGCTTTGCCCTCCCCCTCCCCTCTCCCCCATAGCTTTTATAAAATAAAAGAATTCTTTATAAAATAAAAGAATTCTTTATAAAATAAAAGAATTTTAACCCACAGCGTCAGAGAGTAGACTGACCGACGACAAAACACACAGCCACTTCATGCCAACACATCACGCAGACCCTTAGGCAGAAACACGGACAGATACCGCGAACGTTACTCGGGAAATGCGGGAATTCCGCGAAAAACTGCCACGCTAACTTATCGCAGCCACAAGGCGAGGCGAACCTTCTGGATCTATCTGTTGTTGATGAGAATGATGTGTCTGACTCTTTATCTTTCTTGCACACATCATTCATACAGCTCGCGCCTAAGTTCTTACAGGCGACTGTAGTGAATACCCCATCAGTAATGGTGGAAGGTCGAGGTTAATTAAGGCAAATGCAGCGAAAAAAAAAAAAAAAAAAAAAAAGGCAAATGCAGCGCCCTAACGGGAGAACGACATCGAACCGACGGACGGCGTGGCAGCGTGACGGCTTGAAGGACGGAAGTGAATGACTTACGGGACAACAGAACCCCTGATGTCGGGCGCGGACACATGACATGGCAGAAGCGATGATGAATGATGTGCCAACCGAACCAACGACGATGAATGACGTGGCAACAGAAGCAATGATGGGGAATGAAGTGGAAGCAGAAACGATGATGGTGAATCACGCGGCAAGAAAACCGATGATGGTGAATGACGTGGAACCAGACCAGATGATGGTGAATGACGTGGCAACAGACCAGATGATGGTGATGTGGCAATACTAGCGATGATGATGGATGACGTGGCAACAGAACCGGATGAAGGCGAATGATGACGTGGCAACATGGCCAATAATCGATAGTAGAATGGCTTGATCACGTGCAGAGTCGCAAGACGTGCTGTGTAAACACGTGAGAGGGAACAGAAAAAGCTGCTGGACAGGTCGTAAGACTTAATAACAGCCGACGTGGCAGAGTAGAATCATTGCCTCATTGATGACGTGGGATATGTGATAGGAAAGAATTGGTGAATGAATGACGTCCTGCAGGCGGAAAATCCACGATCAATATAAGAGATTGAGATAATCACCTAATTCTTCCCCTCGCAACGGAGAGCGGAGATAACTTGCCTGTCCGCACTCCCGAGGATCGCCGGGCGCGTGGAAACGACAGCACACGAGGGCTGCGCCGCCCACGCTGGGCCCGCATTTGATCTCTCTTCAATCCACGCATGCAATGCTACAATCTATCTATCGATGTAAAAGAGAAGATAGGGGGGGGGAGAGAGAGAGAGAGAGAGAGAGAGAGAGAGAGAGAGAGAGAGAGAGACAGACAGACAGACAGACAGA